GGACACGAATACGATACGTAATTTCGCCGCCGTGAAAAGTATTCTCCAACGCAGTTCCTAGTTTGCGGCTAACCGATTCTGCGATTGTATCCCCTTTTAATGGGAAAGTCTTTCCCTCGGACGGTTATTTCGCAAAACTTTATCCACAAAACGTTCTGGACAGCCATTTTGTAGGAAAACATCACGAATGAAGGATAGTTTTGTATTTATGGTGTCATCAATGCATATTTTTACCGCCCTGTCTACCAAACACTGAAGTGATTGCTGACTGAGATCTAGTCGATAAGAGAGACTTCGATCCTGGTATAACACCTACTCCTCGCCGATCGACGGTCTTCGTTGTCGCCTGATGTGTGGAGGAAGTACCTTCAGGACGAATCTGGTGCACTTGAGTGATTCATAGTAGGACCTTTATATGGCACACAGTTTTGTGATTAACAGAAGATAGGGAAGATATAATAGTCAGAAGGGACCTGCTATTCACTGATGGAGACCGGTAACCCAAGCCCCGGGATTTGGAGTGACGAACCGCTTAGGGCCTCACTAGGTTAGGCGTGGTATTGAACCGGATGACAGCAAATCTGCCTACCAAGTTGGGTGACCGTAGCGGGATTCGAACCTCGGACCATAGGGTCAAAAGCACGCCGATAACAGCGACTAAACCACTGCGCCACCACCACCCTAGGATCCCGGATTCGAGCCTCCGATACGCAGCAAGCATCGACTGCTAAAGTTCGTTTTACACTCCAGATAAGCTTGTTGACCCACTCGCATCAGAGTCCTCACGTTGAAGACCCCCAAATTTAGTGACTGACGAGACTTCACAATATGGAATTTGTTTAGTGGAACGTTACCGAAGGGGCAAAAAAAAAGGGTTGGGTATAGAAGACTAAGAGTTAAACAAACGTCGGGATTTCTGCGCGGCAGCCTACTTATCACTACCCACCCTGCTCGATGCAATGGACAGCGCGATCCTGATTATCCTGCCCGATGGCCCATGCAGTATGAAATTATTTTTAGTTTGTGTTCACTGGAGCTTTATGGACGGGTACTGCCAGGGAGTTCAGCCACTAAGCACGAGAACAATTATAGTTCTCAACCAAAGCCGTTAGTTCTGACATGAACCTAACCGCAAAGCAGCAGTTAAGATGGATTGGAGGCCCATCAATTTGGATCAATGACTCCTCCAACACGTTTTATCAACTGAGATGCCAAATCAAGTCGAACCCCCAACCTGGAGGACCAGGAGGCTGAACTTTGTCTGACCTCTGACCATTGACCTCCCGGGTACCATTAGATCTTTGAATGAACAAAATTCACCTTGTGTAGCCCGTTGGGTTACAGAGGTGAACAAACCATTACCACATCCAGTTGCAGTTTCATCGTGATGGACCAGTACTGTTAGGTTGTTCAATCACTAAGCAGGAGAATGACTAGGGTTCTCAATCAAAGCCTTTAGTTCTGACAATAATCTAATCGTAAGGTAGCGGGTGAAACGAGGTAGAGGCCTATTTGCTTGGATGTACTTAATCGCGCTTTACCAACTGAGACATCAACTCGAATCCAACCCCTGACCTGGAGGACCAGGGGATTGGGACCTGTCTAACCTCTACCCTTATCCAGGTAAGGTGCAAGCATTTCTGGATAACTTGAATGCCAGTGTAGCCATATTCGGTATGCGTTTTGCACCTTCAAAGTGTAAAATGTTGCTACAAGACTGGGTTGATCCAGCACCCAACCTCACTCTTACTAGAGAAGTAATAGAGAAAGTGTAAAATGTTACTACAAGACTGGGTTGGTCCAGCACACAGCCTCACTCTCACTGGAGAAGTAATAGAGCAGGTGATAAGTTTTGTTATTTGGACAGCTACATCTCACCCGGTGGACGCATCACGGATGAAGTGTTAGCTCACACACAGAAGGCTCGGTTGGCACCTGCCAACTCCAGACATCTGTGGCGCCATCGCGACATCCGGCTGTCTGTGAAGGGTCGAGTGTATGCCGCAACAGTTCGGCCAGTCCTGCTATACGGTGCAGAAACTTGGCCATTAAGAAAACAAGATAAAGACAGACTGTCGGTGTTTGAACACCGCTGTCTACGCAGCATTGCACGAATTTGGTAAGGTAGCCGGATAAGCAATGCTGAGGTTAGGGGTAGAGTTTTGGGTAAATACGGTCGCCCACTGGAGCAAGTGGTCGACCTCCATAGATTACGTTGGCTGGAACGTGTTACGCATGTCACCAGGTAGGTTACCACGGCAAGCGATGTTCGCCGAAGCAGATACCGAGTGGGAAAAAGCCAAGGGTTGTCAGGTTAAGACCTGGCATGAGGGTATGAAAACCCTAACCAGGAAACTGGGTCACATAGGTCCTGTTAGGCTCCCTGGCTGGGGACCTCGGGATGATCGTAACCGACGGTTAGAAACACTGAGTGATANCTTAGACCACTGAACTTCTCCATTTTCTTTTCGACTCCAGTTTCAACTTTCCTTTCTTCTCCCATTCTTCATCCCAATGGGCAGTCAAAAGACAGCAACCAAAACTGGCGCTCGAATATACGTGGTTAATGATTGTTCAAACTGAAAACTGAAACTGAACCTCTACCCTTAGACCTTCCAGATATGATTAAATCTTCCCCATAACAAAAGCTATCCTCCGTAGATGGCTGGGTCACAGAGGTGCACAAGCCATTACACCCAGTTGTCATCGTGAAAAAATTAGGGATTCATGAAAGAAATACACAAGTGGAACCACACGTACGCTATCTTGCCAGTAAACCTTTGCGCTATACCCGAGCTAAGACTTCGGATATTTGGAACAACCAAATACGATTCACCATGATTTTCCATCATGAAAAATCGGATGTGAGATGTACCTAAGTCGTAAATGTAAGTTTGGCAGGTAAAACCACACCGGTGGTCACTCCTGAGTGCATGGCACCTCAAGCGCGCTGATGTTTGTTTCGGAACAACTTCAGA